GGCATGGGCCCCTATATCCACTTTTATTTACCTCTAAAATGGGGAGAACAAAACCTACCAGAGTTGTTATGAGGTTTACCTAAAATCTTTTGTACTGAGTACCCTTAGGGCAATGCTTAGCCCCAGGAGCAATTATGAAGCAGCAATTACTCCAAGCAAGAGGAACTCATAAAACACAGAACAAGCATTTTCAGTTCTCTCCCTTGAGCATCGGATGCAAATTTGGGATCCAAGGACTCCTAAAAGGCCCGGAGTCCAGAGTAAACCGGGGTGGGAATATACACCATTACTTTCAGTACTTCAAATGTAGCATTTTCTTAACTTCAGTACCAAAATCCACATATTATCAACTACTCCCCTGCCATGATCACCAACAAAATCAGACTTTTCATATCACACACATTACATCTGAAATATTGATTTCAATCTGCTCTACTCTGAAATTGTAAGCTATTAGCCCTGCTCTGCATCTTGTTACAGAAGCACATACACTATGCTGCACATTTGGGGTGTTCACATTTTGGTTTTTTGTTTGTTTTTTATGTATTTGGTACAGGGCCTACAGGGCCTACAGGATCTCACTATGTAGATCGGACTTCTAGTGATCCTCCTGTTTTCAGCCTCCCAAGCACTGGGATTATAGGCACGCACCACCAAGCCTGGTTTTGTTTTGTTTTGTTTTGTTTTGTTTTGTTTTGTTTTGTTTTTTTTTTTTTGCGGAGCCGGGGATTGAACTCAGGCCCTTGCGCTTGCCAGGGAAGCGCTTATTCCACTGAGCCATCTCCCTGACCCTCCAAGCCTGGTCTTGATGGCCGACTCAGACCGGGTGCAGGGCCAGTGCAGGGATCGAACCCCAGTCCCTGTGCTTGCCGAAGCAGGCATTTTAGTCCACTGAGCTATCTGGCCACCCTTTTGGGGTGTTTGAATTTTAAAAACTGTACTAAGTAACTTGAGAAAGCAATCCATAGGCTGCCCCAATGAAGTTTGCAGTAATGGCACAAAAGAATCCCTACACCAAACATTTTTTTTTTTTTGGTAAACCCACATTTTCCAAGCAACTCTCTGTTCTTAATTTATTAAAAAAGATGTCTTATGAAATTAAGTTCTAAACATGAGTGATACAAGTCACTTTGCCTCCCTATACAAATCCTGATACAAATTTGGTCCATTTCATCAGCATTTATCAACCACCAACCGTGTCTAGGAAGTAGAGATATGCCCCATCCAAGAAGCTGGCATAGAAAGCAGGATTGTTAGAACTTTCCAGAGCTGACTGGCCAGCTGCAGGGGACACTGTCTGCTCCAAAGAGCAGAGGGATGATGGCACCTCACTGAGGTCTGCACATCTAGCACCTCACCTGCCCTCTAAAACCAGGAACAAGCATGTGTCTGTCCACTATCAGCCCAGAGGAGATGCTTGAACTACAGAAACATGGGCCATGTATATTCTTCTTAGCCTCAGACTGAAAAATTTCATGTCTGCACACCTGTAATCCCAGTACTTCGGAGGCTGAGGCAGGAGGATCTTTGCAAGTTCAAGATAAGCCTAGGCTACAAAGTGAGCTCAAGCCCAGCCTGAATGGCACAGTGAGACCCTATCTCAAAGAAACAAACAAAAAAAAATCTCACAATGTTTTCTGGGCTCAAGTGTCCTCACAGTCTAATATTTCACCTAAAACATGACCAAAGATGAGTTTTTGCTAGCAAAAACAAAAAAGAATATTTGGGTCCTCTCTTGAGCCTGCCCCTGAACAGCACCAGCAGCCCCAACCTACCATTGTTCTCAGGTTCCTGGTGGCTGCAGGATACTGGGTAGCTTGCCTTGCTAACTGAGCTCTACGCAATTGCAACAATAACATAACTAAGTGGTTCAAGTTTACTGTAATTCCACTAAAATCACATCATGGAACTGCAGCATTAGGAAGGATTACTGACAAATGGGAAAAAAACATGAATCCAGGCTCCACAGGCATTTGACTCACTCTTGAGTCACATCCAATACTCACATGCCAAGAGTAAAGCCTTTTGACTCATTATCATCAATTAAAATAAATGTTTTTGAAGACCTCACACGTGGATTTCTCACTAAGTACCCCTTATTAAAGGAGAAAATAATTTAGAAAAATTTGGGGGTAGTCAGATGCCCTTCTTTTCTAAACAGGGATTCAAGGAGGGTGACAAGCTTCACTCCAAAAGAAGTGACAGGTATGGAAATACAGTAAGAATCACAACACCCTGGTAAGGACTCAAGAGCTGACACAGATGCATACATAACACACATGCCACCATGCAAGGCTTTTTTCTAGAATGTTCTTCACCCTGCCATCACCCTGCTTTCTTATCTTGATTAAGAGTGGGAATCAAAGTATTAATAGCTGGTGTTTGACTGTTCCCTCTTAAGGTCCTTCTATACTGTTTTACACGTGTGCACACACCCCTTTATCCTCAATCTTTTGTAGCTCACTTTCTTTGCACAACTACATTTAGGTGTCACATCTACACAATGCCAACTTGGAACCTGCCAAGGCACCACAAGATCCAGATGAGGAGTCTAAGTTGGATTCCTCCCTTTCGAACTGCATGTTCATAGATCTGTCTGCCTCTCTCACCAGTGGCAGCTCAAAGCGGGTCAATTTCATGCTTTTTCTTTGCATTTAAGAAAAGGGTATTCCCCACTTGCACAATGACAGGACAGAAGCAGCCTGCTGTAAGCCATCATTTCAGGCTACACTTCAAACAGTCATGCAGGCTCTGGGCAAGGACAGTGGAAAGTGCCAGAATCTTTGGGGCTTGTGCTGAATAAACATACGTGAAAGCTCCCACGGTGCTCACAGTAGCACGGACACTTGCCAGACTCACCCATACTGGCCAGTGACCTCGAGTCACTCACAATTTCTTGTCACCATGAAACTGAGTGCTAAACTTCCATTAACCAAGCACCCAGCCCAAAAGCTGGCAGGATCATTCTGAGCAAAGCCTAGTGTTCTCACGCTACTTCCCGCTCCACCATCTAAGCACGAGTTTATCTCCATATTCTGCCCAACAGGATTCTTGCCCTCCTGGCCACCTAAAATGTGAGAACGAAAAGATGCTTCATTTGCTTCAAGTCACTGCAGCCCTCCAGTACACACAGCTGCTTAATGACCCTAGGAACCTATAGCCAGGTCCTTAACAGTAGAAGCTTTATGACAGGTAGTGTCCTTTCCTTTCACTCATTTATTTGGAGGTGAGGAGTGTAAGGAAGATGAGACTCAGAAAGGTTGACAGATAAACTCAAGGTTAAATACAAAACCAATCAGAAAAAGCCGGGCTCCCTCACCAGCCGTGGTTCTGGTTCATGCCTGTAATTCCAGCACTTGGCATGCTGAGGCAAGAGGATTGACATGAGTTCGTAGCTCGCCTGGGCTACCTAGTGCGCTCAAAACATTCCTGAGCTGCATAGCCAGGGCCTGGCACAAAAAGAAAAAAGAAAATGCAGTGCTCGAACTTATATGCTGGTCTCCATTGTCAATCTTTTTACTTAAATCTTGTGCCCTAAGGAAGCCTTTAGATTTAGGGGTAAAATGTAAAGTAAGAAATTCAAAAAGAAAGTTAATGTCAAAAACAGTAACAGAGGCCAGGGATATAGCTCAGTCGCACAATGTGAGGTCCTGATTTTGAATGCCAGTACAAAAAAAAAAAAAGCCAGTAACAGGCGAGTGTGGCAGTGCACCTCTATAATCCTAACACTCAGGAGGCTGAGGCAGGAGGATCTCCACAAGTTTGAGGCCAGCCTGGTCTATAAAATGAGTTCAAGGCCGGCCTGAACTGTACAGTGAAACTTAAGTCTCAAAAAGACAAACACAAAAGAAAACAGTGACAGCGAGGCGGTTGTGACAGTGCTCACCTATGATCCCATCACTAGGGAGGCTGAGGCACTGGGGCAATACAGACTTTAAGGCTGACCTGAACTATACAGTGAGACCCTGCCTCAAAACACCGAACAAGAAAAGGGAAAAAAAATAAATAAAAGCTGCCGCGTCTAACTGGAGAGAACAGTGGAAACACAAGTTGCGGGCGTGGGCCAGACACTCCAAGTGCAGATTCAAGTTCGCAAGTCACAGGTTTAAAGGGCACTATAAAAAAAAGAAAAGAAAAAAGAAAGGCAGTCCCTCCCGCTTCCTGCCCGCATGCTAGAGGCGCCCAAAGAACAGAAGCCTGTAAATCAGTGGTGCAAGCCAGCACTGCAAAGTCCCTGCACTCAGTTCCGACTTTCCCAGCCTATTCTGCCGTGGCCGGCTTCGTCTTTCAAGCCTCCCTCATTCAAGGAGTTGTAATTCCCGCGCCCAGACCTCATACCTTCCCACCCCCAATAATAATAATCGCTTCCTTTTCCCGTCCCCCGTCCCTTTCCGGGGGCACAGCCTCCTACGCAGTGGCTAAGAGTCCTGCAAGCCCGGGGCGCCAAGGTCCCACGCCAGCCCAAGCGCCCCACCAGGGGAAACCCCGGCCCAGGAGGGAAATTTCTCCGTCCACGCGCACGGAAAAGGTGGCTCCGGTGGCCCCGAAGCGTGCGCGGGTAGCGCCCGGTCCGCTCCACCACGCTCCGGCGCCGCAGCCCCACGGGAGGAGCCGCCCGCGCCCGGCAGCCCGAGAGAAAGCCCCCGGCGGGGCTCTGCGACCTCGAGCCCGCGTGGAGCGCGGGTCGGGCCCCGAGCGGCAGCACGGCCGACGCACACCCGACTCAGCCCCTACAAGGCCCCGCACTGCGGCCGGGACGGCGCC